GACACAATACTCCAGCTGAGGCCTAACCAGAGCAGAGTAGAGCGGAAAATAAATAAGAGGTGTGTTTACATGTTACTTCACTGGTATGTTAGTTTTCGTGGGCCAGATCCTTTCTGACCCATGCACAGAAGACATAAGGAATGGAGAGAATACTCCCTCTCCATTACTGTTGGGTGGCAAATGATGCCTCAAAGGGAAGTAGAGGAAAGGGAGACAAAAGCATGGCCTTTTGCCCAGATATGCACCAGCAGAGCTTGCTGGCCATGTAGTGGAGTAAGCTGTACTCCACAAAAGAGTAGAGTGGTGGGAGCATTGCCCCTGTGTGCCCAGGGCCTCTGGGAGGCATTTTGCCTCCTTGTAGCAGAAAATCTCCCATTACTATCTCTTAGTGAGTGTAGCTCCATGGTGTCCTTTGCTATGGGCTATGCCTAACTGGCACCATCTAGCCCTGTTTGGCTGTGTTCTCTACCACCACATAAGTCACGCATCAAATGACTTATAGGTAAGGAAAAACATTTATGAACCCAGCTGGTACTAAGGCTTCACTCAAGTATTCATCTGATACCAACAGTTGTTAGTTTCAGGTTCACAGAATTAGTGGTATGTTCTTTCTTCAGTAATAAAATGCACTTGCATTATTGTAGATTCTTTGTATGCACTGAGGGGAGAATAAACTCTTTACAACTGGACTCCAGCACTAATTTTAAAGTAGGTGGACTTCTGAATTATTACCACTTTATTAAGGAGATGCTCTACAAATCTTTTTTAATTAAGTTAGCTCCTTTTCCTGGTGAAAAAAATAGGTAAGGGGGTTTGTAGCTGTGTGTAGTGAGTGCAGTTATGCTTAGGACTATTTTTTGCTATGTGTAGTATTTTTACATAAGTTGAACCAAAATTGTTTCTTTTGTGAATATATTGTCTTGCAAATTACATCTTTTTATTAATGTAACATGTAGGCACAATTTTCAAGGAAAATATGTTTGTCTATCAAGTGAGCTAATAAAATTCAAAGATTAACATATAGTAAATCCAAATTTAGAGAAACAGTGATTGTATAATCATAGCCTCACCCACTGTTATACAGATCATACTTAAAATACTACATATTATAGTGATAATGAGCATGTAGTTAACCATACAGCATTACGTTAAATCCAAAGTAACTCGCTTGAACTTAATGGGAGTTGTTTTGGGTTTACAATCAGTAAAAACCAGAGCAAAATTTGACCCAGAATGAGTAAACTTTTAACTGCCTAAGATCTGTTTCTGATTGCACATTCACTTCACCTCTTGTTCGGTACCCGTAAGTCTCTTGTAGAAGGTTGCATACTCCTTGAGTCCATCAGCAAAACATATTAATCCCTCATCTACTGTTGCTGACAATAGTAAATCTTCATTCTTGTAAGCCTCTTTTACACCAAGAAAGTCACTTGTTGCTGACTATGTTTGTCAGTAACAGGTCTCCCTGAACCAACGTTAAAAATGGTTTAATTGGTACTGTGCAAGGGCCAGAAGAATTTTTCAGCACCGTTACAAAAAGTGTGGTCTCTTGTCATGATATATATGCTGAAAATGGCTGTATCCTCAACTGCTCTAGCAGTAAAATTGTTTTTAACTCTGGTTCTGGGTGACCTGTTGCTGACAACCGTGGTGAGCAATAGGTGAGTTACCTAGTGTAGAAAGATTTAAGAAGATAGAGGCTTACTAGATTGAAAAGATGTAAACTTCAGACATGCAATTTGTTGCATGCTTGTTGGAATGAAACAGATCAGAGTCCAGGTGAAGCACAGAATTTTTAATGAATCAAGCCCTTAAATGTTATTTGATCTTTATCATTGTAAACATATCCTTAACCACAAATGTATTACTACAGTTATATATGCACCTAAGTGATCTGACCATCTCTTTGTTCATACATGTAGAAGTACAGTACATAGTGCTTGCAAATCCTTCGCATATTCCAAGAGATTTATAGTTCTTCACAAATTGCTCTCTCTAGTGCTGGGAAATCATTTGCTGTCATGCATTCTACAACATGCACTCTATAATATTACCAAAAATAGTACAAACAAAATGGTACAGCTCAACTGCATTAAAAAAAAGAAAAGTGACAATGCTTGCAGTTCAGCCAAGTAATTTTTAGGAGAAATACAATAGTCATGTTGTGCATTTGAAATGGATAATAAAAAATTATTGAAGGCAAAAAAATATAATCTTATTCTCTCAGGCTTTCAATCCAACACATGCACCTGCACACACTTGGAAATGAAATCTGAACAAGTTCAAAAGACACACGACTAAGAGCCAAATCCTGCAATCCTTATTTGGGAGTAAATCCTGACTGATGGTGAGTATTTGCAATTTCCACTGCCTTCAATGAGAGTTGACAGGTTCTCAGCACTTCTCAGGATTTGGCCTTTAATTCTTACTGAGGTAAAACTCCCACTGAAGTTAAAAGAAATTTTGCCTGATTAAAGGATGCAGGATTTGGCCCTAAGAGAATAGTATTAACAATGTTAACAATAGTATTAACATTCCATAACAAATTCAAAAACTTATACTAGAAATTAAATTCAGAGAACAACAAAAATCTCAAGGCAGCTGAGCAATTTTCAACACACATTCTCAGAACCTTAAACAATAGTGGCTGTTGCATGTATGGCCATCAGGAAACACAGCTGTGCTTCTTTCTGTAACAATTAATTACTTCCGCTGTATATAAAATTGAACGTATTGGGTACTCTGGTGCGGAAAAAGGATATCCTGATACACTGCTCCTATTTCCTTACTAAAGGCTTTTACTGAACCTTTCACCATTAATTCATTTACAGTGAATTATCCTGTGATGAAAAAGGAAAGGCCAAAATGGATGGCTAACTATCATCTCAAAAAGCTATTTTCTTTTGCATTTTTGTCTCTCATATTTATATTTTTATTTGACTATTTCCCCAGGATGCCAGATTTCTCTGACGGCAGGTGTTCAGTTTTAAGTTCCTGGAACTTAGCATAGTTCATAGTATAGAACTGGCCGAAGTGGCAGTGTTTCTTTGGAACACTGGCACTTCACTAGGCATATGATACATGCAAGGCAATGGAGAATCACTGTACGTACCCTTTGCCCCTTATGTTATATTATTAGACAATACTGACACTACTAAAAATAAACTGAAATGTTTATTAAACTAAGAGATACAATATCTGTTTAAATTCCAAAATCAGTAATAGTGTGAATTTTCTGCCCTTACACTGAACAGTACTGGTCAGAGTAGCTGAATCGAGCTTAATGGAATCCATGAGTGTTTGTTTGTTTTAACCTGCCAAGACTTTGGTTCAGGATTGTGTGTGTCTCCTTAAGGAGCTAATAGTATCACATTTAAAGAGCAGGAACCTTAATTTGTTAGTCTGCAATAGGTACATATGATGGTATTAGCTGTTGCAAGCAAAACCTGAACTCAGGTGCTGGCAGATAAATGAGAAAGCTATTTTAAAATATTTTGTTTAAAAATATTTTCATATAAGCTCATGTATTTTCTAAACTATTTAGGATCATACATAGTTGTTTGTATTTGTTTATTAAAGATAATTTCAGTTTCCTTTTAAGGGATTCCTCACATTTTTAATCAGAACAAGTTGGACAGCCTGCTTTAAGGGTCTTCTCTGGTAAGATATATTTTAATGAGTATTAAAATGTAACAAATATAACTACATTTGTAGGAAATACAAGAGGTAAAAATGTTTGTTTTTTAGATAAATCATGCCAAGAGTACTCTCATATGAGTAAATATTATTATTCAGTACTTGCATAGCCACTTTTCCACTTCAGAGTTCTTTTCTATCATTCACTTGCTAATACTTTTTATTAATAGTGCGCAAAGTAAGTAGTATTATCCCCATTTTACAGATAGAAAAATACACACAATCAGATTAAGTGATCTAAGGCCACACAATGAGGGCAGAGCCAAGACTATATAACTAAGGGAGACTCTCACTTCCTGTTCCATGCTCAGACCACTAGGTATCTCTGCTTTTTCAGGGGACTTGAACCTGCACTCCTGACTCATCAAAATTTTCCACTGAATACAATGGAAGTTTTCCCTGAGTATGGCATGCCAGATAGGGCCTTGTGCTCACTGATGAAGTTTACACAGTAAAATACTTCCTGAGAATAGAAAAAATGCCTCGTGAAAATAATGATGGTGAAATAATATCCCTACCTTTTGTTATTATAAGAAAACTTTTTTTATTCCTAAGGTAATATTTTACATATAGAGCCAAATCTTTAAAAGTATGCCCCTCCTTTTGCTCCTACAATTATTTTGCAGCCACAAATGTATAAAAAGTCACTACATCATAAACCACAAATCTCTACCTACCTGACCACAGGTACAAATCAGGTAGTTAAAGGTTTGTGTACTCAGATTTCCACATGTAATTAATTCTGAGTGCAAAAATGCATGCTCAAATTTTGCATGCATAAACTGCATCCCCCATAAAGGAGTCCATGCCTCAGTTCTGAATATTTCTCCTGTAGTACACATATGCCTATCTTACATATACACCGGACCCTTGCTAGAACGCGCATCTATATAGCGCGAATTCGCATATAACGTGGTCGCGGCCATGGATCCCAAATTTAATTACTTTAATTGCAATTCATTTTAACATGGTCCCCGTGTTAATGCGGTACCGCGCATGGATCCCAAATCCCGCATTCTAACGAGGGTCCGTTGTATATGCATGTGCACACTTACATTAAACAAATAATATCCTTTAAGATTTCTTTAAACTAAACTAATTCTTAATCATAAAGAATATTATTTTCCAATTAACATATGTTCAGACGATAATATTGTTGAAGCCCACTAAATAATCTTTTCCCCTTATACCGACTCTTTGCTCTTCTGAACTGTAATTTTTTTCAACTGCCTTGGAAGTAACAGATATTGTATTTTGTGTTCTTTTCCTCCACTCTACCCTTTAAAAAAAAGGAAAAAAAAACTTTCTTGAGTCTTAAAAATCCAGAATAAGCTATTTAACACACTGCAACAACCGAAAACTTTAAAAAGGATAGCCAATTGCGTGGACTTTTTATAACAGGCAATATTCATTCCACATATATCCTTCGATGAACCATCCCCTTTGTTCAAACTGACACCTCCTTTCTACCCCCAGCTCCTTAAAAAAGTATTTATCAGTTTAGCTAAAGTAATTCAATTGTTTTTTTCCTCAATGGCGTCCACAAAAGCATGGCATTTAGTAAAAGAAAAAATGATTCCATACTTTGTTTCTATTAATCAAAAAGAATCTGAATTTTGAAAGTGAGTGAGCTTTTTAAAGTAATTAAACTGGAAAATGCTTTTCCTGGTGGGGGAAAAATAAAGTAGAATTATAAGTCAAATATTTAATTTCAAATTAGTAATGATTCTTTTTTCTCCAGATGAATCAATTCCTTCCTGAAAATTAAAATCTGTGGAAATTTGGAAGAATCTTTTCTCTTATGAAGGCATTTTTTATTTCTGGTTGTCATTACTACCTAAAAAAGTCTGCAGGCCAATCTGAAAGTCATTACTTGGGGCAAAACTACTATGGATATTAAGAGGAGTTTTGTCAGAGGAAGGACTGAGGGCCACATTCTTTCCTCTGCAACACAGTATAGAGGAAAGCAAAATGTCCCAGAGAAGATCCCAAAAGGGTAATGAGGGTATAGCAATGGCTTTCCTGCATGCTTCCCTGGTCCCTCACACCATGGAGGCCCCACCACTTCACAGGGCCCTGAGGTTCATGTAATGAAGAGTTGGGGAGCAGCCAATCTTTGTGGCATGCTTTCCTTGGGTTCAGACAAATGTCCAATTAGAGCAATACACCTGGAAAATCCCTCAGAGGAAGGTTTTGCAGAGCATGGGCTGACAACACAGCTCCTGCTGTTACATGTAGTATTGCTCCTTACACAGAATCCTGTCCTGTGCAGGAGTTCTGAGATCCTTGCAGCTCAATGGACACATACTCCTTTTATGGGGCTAAACCCATGCAAGAGAAAGATGAGGAGTCCCTCTGTCAACAAAATAGTAAGGCGGTCTTCAGAATTGAGCCGTACATGTGACATTTATTACTACAAAAAGTTGGGGGAAATAATGTTAGAATTCTTCACAATTTAGTCTGTAATGCAACAACTCTGTTAGTGTATCTAACGCTTTCTCTCAGTCCTTCCTCAGAGAAGTGAGGATTTCACCTTTATAGATGTCTAAAGACATGCCTTATAGGCTTAAAGCAGGGAATTTCTGCCTAACTCTAATCTCAGTCTCAGCCATAGCTCTCTGATTTGGCCAGGAGAACAAAGCATTTCATTGTGTATCCCAGGGTGGCTGGCAGCAATTTTTTCACAACTCCTCTTTTTCTTTCTTAGTTAGTCACCAGTGACTCTGGTTGAGTTAAAGGTTTATGATTTACAAAGAAAAACCCTAGACTTGAAACTACAGACCATCTTTAGAGCAGACAAGGCACAATTTCTCTTCCATTAAGAATCAATTAATGCAAAGGGGAAAAGATCAAGATAGAAATAATTAGACAATGATTCAGATATAAAGGTAAATTGTGTAACTTCTGCTCATTCTGTAGACTCATTTTCCAGTAAATTTTAATCTCAGTTTAACTATCTCTAATTTTTTTCCACACATAAATTGTAAACAGTTATGGCTGCAAAATAAAATTAAAGTGTATGGAGCTTCACTTCCTGGTGTGGAACTCATTCATGCCATTTAAAGCAGTCTGTCTCTTTACTGTTTTATATATATGTTTTAATCAAGTTTAATGATTAGCTATAGCTATGTCATTTTAAAACTGTGCATTTTGGGGGCGGGGTAATAATGTTTTAGTCAACCACAATATTATCTGAAGATTTATTTCTTATTTGTCTATCATGGCAGTAGAGTTAAATCAGATGGGTTAGATCTTTTTGAATATTCTTAAAAACCATTTCTGGTTAGAAACAAAAGAATAAAAACCTGCCTAGGTGGGGCCAAACTTTGCCGTCAATTACACCAATGTAAATCAGTTCAGACCTTTGTAACTGAGGACAAAATTTGCCTTTTGCTTATCAGGTTATTTTAAGTAATATCTGTTGACACAATAAGGCCTGTAAATTTACAAGTCTTGCCCAGTTACAACTTCTAGGCACTACATCTTTTGAATGTATTCACACTTGTTTGTTTACACAGTGCAATTTACTTACCAGCATGTTCAGTGTTGCTATACAGCAGAGGTAGGCAACCTATGGCACACATGCCGAAGGCGGCACACGAGCTGATTTTCAGTGGCACTCACACTGCCCGGGTCCTGGCCACCGGTCAGGAGGGCTCTGCATTTTAATTTAATTTTAAAGGAAGCTTCTTAAACATTTTAAAAACCTTATTTACTTTCCATACAACAATAGTTTAGTTCTATATTATAGACTTATAGAAAGAGATCTTCCAAAAACATTAAAATGTATGACTGGCACGCGAAACCTTAAATTAGAGTGAATAAATGAAGACTCGGCACACCACTTCTGAAAGGTTGCCGACCCCTGCTAAACAGCAATGGAAGGCTGAACCAATCCATTTTTTTTAATCTTAAGGCTCTGATGTAGAAAATATACATTTATGTCTCCTAACTAGTATTTCTTGTCTGAAAGTTGTCAACTGCTGAAAAACCATATTAATAAATATATCCAAAACATAAAGCTCTAAATGTATTTGCACATCCCTTTTATTGCTAGAATATTGGCACAGATAATCCATGCAAGATATGTTCACTCACATCTCAAAAACCACACTACAATCTGTTTCTGAACTAATAACTAGAGATTTTAAAAAAATCTAAAACCAAGGGCACTTGTGGTGTAAAGTCAACATTTCAGTACATTATAAAAGCTAGACTCCTAGCATGATCACTGCAGGCATTAAATCACTCAGTTGCAAATGTAACCATTTATAAATACTAAACAAATTAATGTCTACTACCAGGAGACAAGTATTGCAAATAAACATTATACTGTCCAGCATTAGACGCTAATAAGTGTGTTTAGTGCTGTAGACATTCACATTATTAAATATAAAAAGAAATAACCTTAAATAAAACATTTCACCCATGTTACTGACCACTGAAGGACCAAACTTAAATGATTTTTCTTATTTTGGTTGAATTTCTTTCTGTCTGTGTGAATCTGATGAACCAAAAAACTAACCGTTATTTTAAGAAGTTGAGAGAAAATTTCAACAGTTACACTGAAGTTTTCTTCTGAAGTATTTAATTTACTTTCTGTGCTGCAATTAAATAGAAAAAGAAAAAACAACATAAAAAGTCTTAAGCTTATTTTTTTAACTTTCAGCTGCATAGAGATTAAAGACTATTTTTAATTAGATTTAAGATGGGGTCTTTTGCAAATCTTTTGATAAAAACCATAATTCTTGTATAGTTTTATCATTTGGCCATTCAGAGGTACAGTATTTTTGTCTTCTAGGCAAAATTCCTCATGTGAATTAGAATGAAAAGATTACTTTAGGAAGTTTTATGACTTAATCCCAGGTAATTGTTAAAAGACATAAACAGTAATACACATTATTCAACCTGAAAATTATGTTTTTCTGCAGCAGTTACCGTAGTGATATATAATGTAAGGGTCCTATTCTAAGTTATGCATATGTATCTTTTTTGTCCTAGGAGTGTGTTCTGCATCGCAAAACACTTAAGTTGATTACATAGTATTTTACACAAAAGAGATTCAAAATAGTACACTGCCATGCACAGCTTCTGGTTGAGGTTTGTGCAAAAAGGGTGTCTAAATATAGATTTCAAGTGTGGGTAACTGGATTCCTTATTTTTGGATCATATTAGGAAGCAATGTAGGTCAAAATAGGAAATGTATTGTATGCGACTACTTAGGCTGGTCTCTACCTAAAACAGGTTAACCTTGCTATATCACTCAGGGCTGTGAAAAATGTTACGCCCTGTGTGACATTAGGTCAACCTAACCTTCACTGTAGCTGCAGCTAGGTCAACGGAAGGTTCTTCTGTTGACCCAGCTACCACCTCTCAAAAGGGTGGATTTACTACAGTGATGGAAAACCCCCTTCCATTGCTAAAGTAAGTGTCTATACTACAGCATTACAGCAGTATAGCTGCAGCGCACTGCAGCTGTAGCGCTTGTAGTGTAGACATAATCCTAGATGCTAACCCCTGCCAGTAGGCAATACCCAAAAACCACCTGACAGAGCTTCTGCAATGTTGTCTATCCATGGTGTACCATAGATCCTGCTACTAATTCTACTGCTAAGTAATAAAGAGTGATAAACACCATCATTTGTTGAATGGCACTAGAGTCTTGAAAGGTCTTGAAATTTTTGAAAAGCAACACTGGTAGATACAAGAACACTGCATCAGTGTCTAGGGAACAGAAATCAAATATGAATGGAAAATGAGGTGTGTGGTTTTTTTTCAATTAATTGTAACTTATCGTGTTGGAGAGTGCAATGAGCCAGATCCTTGGCAGGAGTAGTCAGTGGTGTTATGCTGATTTAAACCAGCTGAGGATCAGGCCAATAAATGGAAAAAGAATTGCCTACTATAGAAAAAAATATTTGTACCTAATATGCTGGCAAAACTGTTTAAGAATACACTTCATCAATGTAAAAATCTGACCCTTGTGAAAATGCTAAGATCTGTGAAAACAAGGTTCTCTATGGCATAAATACAGGTCACACAACTCAGGGATGCCAGAGGACAGTTTTAACTTAGGCACTATTTTTTTTCAGGATATATAAGGATAGTTAGCATTGACAATATGAAACTTGCATACCAGAGATAAAAGTTCCTTTTATTTTGACCCTCCCACCACCAACTGGATATGCTCTTCATCCTCTAAGAAAATATGGCATGTTTCCTAAAATGGGCATAGAATTTTAGGAGGGAAAAGACAGCCACCAAATGATCCACTTTTATATTTAGACTGTGCAAAAATCCAAGACACACTAGAGTGCTGGTGGCATTAAAATAGGGCCCATACATTACATCATTAGGTATCTGGAGCCTGAGAAATATTGACTTAACATTGTCAATACTGTATGCTGTCAATCACTATACAATCAGAATGCTCACTCAAAAATAAATAGCTGAAAACTTGAAGAGTGATGGAACTTTCTGTCCTTAAGTATGATTATCTTTCGCTGCTGAGTAGCAATAAACTACTGTCTCACATACAAAACTATCGCTGATATTTAAATTTTAAAATCCAAAGCTAATGTCAATACTATAAATAGTTGCTGCCTTTCACAACAATATATAAGCTTTTATAAATACTTGCAAGAACGTGTCAGATGATTTTAAAATACTAGAACAGGTGATATATTAACTCTGTCTTATGTGTGAGAGCCTATGTACACCTCTACCCCGATATAACGCGACCCGATATAACACGAATTCAGATATAACGTGGTAAAGCAGTGCTCCGGGGGGGGGGGAAGGGCTGCGCACTCCGGTGGATCAAAGCAAGTTCGATATAATGCGGTTTCACCTATAACACGGGAAGATTTTTTGGCTCCCAAGGACAGCGTTATATCAGGGTAGAGGTGTATCTTCTTACAGCAGCAACCACAACCACACTTGGGATGTGTTGCATTTACAGAAAATAATCACAGTAATAAGAGCACGTGCCTGTGATTTGGTGCTGCTCTATGAAATGTTTTATCAGTCTTCACTAACATTAATAGGAAGAAAAAAGGGCGCCCCTTTCCCAAGGATTTGGGATTGAGTAGAGAACCTTCCCAGGCTATTTGCCACTCCTACCCTTCCTAGCTGTGCTAAATGGAGACTGCGTCTGCAGTGTTAAACAAACAGTAACTAGATGTTTTTCATTCACAGGACAAATGGAAAGATGAATCAGCTTTAACTAGAAACACAACATGGATCCTCTCCAACCACCCCCTGCCCATTCCATATAAGAGAAAATTAGAGAAAGCCAGTTGCCCTTTTCCACTCTGATTAGAAAATGAAATAATCCATTGTGCATGCACAAGGCCACATGCACTGATCAAGGTTTAACTGGGGGTGGGTGGAAGGACTTAGCGTCATCAAATTTTTATTCTGATTCCCAAACTTTCAGTCACTCATTGTCTCCTTCTTAGCATGATAGTTCTATTAGGATTCAAGACAAACTTCTTGTTTGGGAAAGCCTTTGGCAGCAGTTCTCAACCAAGGGGGTGAGGCCCCCTGGGGGGCCATGAGCAGGTTTCAGGGGGTCTTCCAAGCAGGGCTGGCATTAGACTCACTGGAGCCCAGGGCAGAAAGCCGAAGCCTCGTTGCTCCAAGCCCCACCACTCTGGGCTGAAGCTGAATCTTGAGCAACTTAGCTTCATGGGGCCACCTGTGGCATTCAGCCCCAGGCAACTGCCCTGCTTGCTACTCCCTAATGCCGGCCCTGGCTTTTATATGCAGAAAAACTGTTGTTGTGGCACAGATGGGCTGTGGCGTTTTTATAGCATGTTGGGTGGAGAGGGCCTCAGAAAGGAAAAGGTTGAGAACCCCTGGCCTATGGGATGTCTCTAGTTCAGGGGTCGGCAACGTTTGGCACGCGGCTCGCCAGGGTAAGCACCCTAGCGGGCTGGGCCAGTTTATTTACCTGCTGACGCGGCAGGTTCGGCCGATCGCAGCCCCCACTGGCCGCGGTTCGCTGTCCCGGGCCAATGGGGGCAGCGGGAAGCGGCGCGGGCGAGGGATGTGCTGGCCGGGGCTTCCTGCCGCCCCCATTGGCCCGGGACAGCGAACCGCGGCCAGTGGGGGCCGCAATCGGCCGAACCTGCCGCGTCAGCAGGTAAATAAACTGGCCCGGCCCGCGAGGGTGCTTACCCTGGCGAGCCGCGTGCCAAACGTTGCCGACCACTGCTCTAGTTCATTCAAAAAATTGATGCTTGGATCTAGCACCATGACATAAATAATGGAATAATACTTCTTTTTTGGTGAGGAAATCCTGATCTACTTATCTTAATTTTAAAGCTATGATTCTATACATTATTTTACAATTAATATTTTGGCACTTAATATTTTCTTGTAACAAATTTCAAGAATTATTTGTAATTGGTTTTAAACACTAGTGTATGGTCTCAGCTCTAAGGCTGATCTGGGTATTTTTATTACTTATTTTTACATAAAACATTTTTTTAAATTAATTTTAATCTCTTTAATTTTTGTTCTAACTTTTGCAGTAATATTTGACTCAGATTGACTAATTTGACATTGAGTGTTCATTCAGCTTTCTGTATGGACCATGCAAAAAAAATGCTCTGCAAATATAAAAGTGATTAAAGTTATACTTCAGAAGTGTTCAATAGCTTCCTAGCCTTCCTACCCTCCCTCAATGAGAAATGTCAGTTGGGGTTATCCTTTTTGCAATTTCTCAGTTAGTTGCCAATTTTCTCACAGTGCCATTAGCTTCCAGGTCTTCTTTTAGACATTGATGGCATGAGCATGTTTCTTGCACAGTGGCTTATCTTTCTTGGAGTAAAATGGCTGACCTTCCAAATTCACATGGCACACCTAAAATTAAAGATTAAACACAATCAGGAATCACAAACAGAAATGTAGCTATTAGTAACAGTTTTATTGCTCCTTAGTTTTTAAGGACTAGATTCTGATACGCTGACTCACAATGAGTAGCACCATACTCCATGAGAGTCCGATAAATTTCATTAGGACCACTTAAGGAGTTAGACAGTGATCAGTATTAGGAGATATGGGCTTGCTACACTGGCAATTAACAGCGCTGCAACTTTCTCGCTCCAGCGGGTGAAAAAACACCCCCCTGAGCGCAGCAAGTTGCAGCGTTTGAAAGCACCAGTGTAAACAGTGCCCCAGCGCGTGCTCCCAGCGCTGGGAGCTACGCCCCTTGTTGAGGTGTGTTTTTTAGAGTGCTAGGAGAGCTCTCTCCCAGCGCTGCGCTGTGACCACACAAGGCATGTTAAAGCGCTGCCATGGCAGTGCTTAGCATTGCCAGTGTAGACTAGAAGTGCTAACTACAGTAATGTGCTACTGCAGCTAGACAGAAAGCAATGCACATTAATAAGATTGGGATGAGCACGTTAGAAATGCAAAGACAGACTGACATGGATTTTTCTGTTTGGCTTTATATGCCAGTAAAACAATTAGGATAAACTGGGATGGGACAGCTGTGAAAATTACATTAACAGAACAAAGGGATAGTGTCACCTCTACAAACACTTGGGTCTTGCCAACTAAAATAAATGGGTGAGAAACTACTTAAAAGTGCAAATGCACCAGAATAGGAAATATTCAGAGAAGGTGTCTTTTATAAGTGATTAAATATGTTTTTATGACAAAATGATGTTGAATCAAGAGAAGATAGCTACTGGATTGTGCAAGCAATAGTCTGTGTACTAACACAAATGCATGTATCAACTTCAGACATTCCCAATTTCAGAAAAGGAGCATATTATATCACTGAAGTAAAAACAGCAGCCAGTAGGTTAATGTAACATTTGACACAAACAATCAATTCTATACTTCCTAAAGTTCATTAGAGAGGTGTACGGCCCCAAACGAATCAGTGAGGCTGTCGCTGTTCTTTCTGACCATGTCAATGTACTGTTTGTAGCTGATGAGAGGCTTGGAATATTACTAATAGTTCTAGGGGAAATGGGTTAGTGGATGAGTGCAGGTGGGACACTCAGGGGTGATAAGTGCTGATTATTATATAGATTTTACCATCGTGTGTGTGTGTGTGTGTGTACACATGCACAAGAGCAGACAGAATGATGACTCTGACTAACATCTGTGCTAATTACTATTTGTTTTTTCTGAACTGACTCCTTTCTGTGTGAAAATGCAAATTGCACAACTGTATAAACAGAACATTTGGTCACTATATTTCACACTATTCAATTTGGTGATAATATCATTGCCTGAGATTTATTTTAAATCCTGATTTACCACTTTGTGCAAATTTAATTAAAAAGAATACCAAGCACTGCTCTCCCACACAGTTTCTGTAGACTCTTCCAAAAAGCACAAGTGTTTTCTTAGTGTTTCTGAGCATTAGCAGTGTAGATCAAATTTAGCTATTCTGATGAAAACTGGGGGTGGGGGTGGGGGTTAGGAAAAGGAAAATAACCCCCATCTGCAATTAAAACCAATCAACTGCTTCCCACCACCACCACTAAACTGAATTCTTCCAGTATAATGTCACAAGTTCTAATAAGATTATAGAATTTTAATGTAGATACCTACAGCACAAATAAAGCAGGTATCATGCCAAGTGTGTCCAAGGGCTTCAATGAATTTATCTCCTGCTTCAACAGGAAAATCACAGCCATGGCATTTTGTGCTGAACAAAGCAATGTAATCTAAAATAAAACAAAAGCAAACTTAGAACAAACGCTGAACACAAGCATATTACACCCAAAAGAATCAGAGATGTGCCTAGTAGTGATTCTTGGGATTATTTTTATTTAGAATTCTTTTCTACCTCCCACTCAAATTCTCCAAGGGTGAAATTTTTGAGCAGCTCCCCCCCTCCTTCCTTTACTTCTTTAAACACAGAAATTCAATGCAAAAACCCACTTAATGTAGTATTATGGCTGTGAATATAAACATACACAATTCAGGAAATTCAAAGTTATGTTCCCCACAGGATTTGGAAATTAGCCATAGATAGATTGATTTATAATCACACACACACCAGAAAAATCATAAGCACAAAATGAATTTATACAACATACTATATGAGGACCAGGGGGATGACATGATGAGCACTGTGTAAGCACCACTTAGATTTCCCTGCCTGCTGTGTATTTATATTTTCAGTTTAATGTTGGACTACCATAATTTTTGCATTAAATAGAAAATATAACAACACTGTATCCTTTGGTTAATATATCCTAACTTTGAATATTGACGTCAATCTGGAGTTATTGTATCTCAAAAAAGATACAGCAGAAATAGAAAAGGTGCAAGAGAGTCAAAAAAGTATTCAGGTTATTGGGGTTGTGGTTGAAAGCTCCCATTTTAAGAGAGTATGTGTTGGGGTCCCAATCTAAGCCATTTTAGATTTATCCCCCCCTTAAATCCAGGACCTAGGAGGTACTCTTTGACCCTTCAGGTTTCTATTTCTCACTACCAGAGAGAGATGAGGCCAGGAATGCAGGACAGAGCAGAGACAGGGCATGTGGAGGGAAGGACCACTTCACAATTTAGTCTAGCCTTGATCCTGCCTCATAGCTCATTCACCTGGCTAGCTCCATTTATTTATCCACCCATCTGCCGGTCCATCACAACTTGTAGGGTGGACACTTGCAAATTCCTGGAATACTGGGCATTCCGGCATTTCTGGGAATAGTGTGGGCGTGTATGCAAGAATAGGTGCCAACTCCATGGGTGCTGACTCAAACCCCCATGGAAAAAAAATGGGTACTCAGCACCCACTGGCCACAGTGGTTCCGGCCTCAGGGCTGGTAACCGATCAGCTGTTCGACAGGCCCTCAGGGCTGGCCGCAGGTCAGCAAGCAGCTGGCAGGAGGCGCTTGGGGAAGGGGGGAGCGGAGAGGAGGGAGCAGTGCGGGGGAGTCTTGGGGGAAGGGACAGAGCGGGGTCAGGAAGAGGCGGAGCAAGGGTGGGGCCTTGGGAAAAGGGGCCAAGTGGGAATGGGGCCTCAGGGTGGAGCACGCACGGGGTAAAATCAGAGGTCAGTGCCTGTGTGTGCACGGTCATGCCACAAAGAGGGTGCCATTTTGAGGAGCACACCATCCTCCCCCAGTGCACATGAGGTCACACTGACAGAAGTGGAGTGGCGCGCTCTCCATTACAGTGTTTCTCATCTGATAATGGACAAAACCATGTCCAGTTTTGTCTCAGTACCAGATGGGGGACAAACGCTACAAAAGCAGGACTGTCCGGTTTAAAACCCAACAAACAGCCTGTCTAATCACAAGGAGGCAAGGGAAGCTGTGGGAAAACACAGACTAGGAAACACTCGTATAGCTTGATGCCAGAGACAAACTACCAGACTAGATCGGCTATCGGCCTGATTTTGCTTGGCAATTGCCCTGTTTCTGTGGTTCTGCCAGATAACATGAAGGACACTAGTATTGAACAGTACTATCCAGTAAGATACAGTGGCTCTGTTGTGTGTTATACCTTTCTCACAGTAGGGCTCCCCATCCTCCATGTGGAAGAGGCTATTCCCAAACGGTTTCTTACAGGCAGCACAGACAAAGCAAGTCGTGTGCCAAGTCTGCCTTAGAGCATGCATCACTTCCTGAAAAACAAAAACAGCAAAATACCACATACACTAAGCCCACATACAGGAAAATATACAAAGCTGGGATACCCTGGGCTTCTCATTTTAAAATCAGCCAATTCTTTTGCCCAAGATAAAACTCAACAACTCAAGGGATTTTTAAAATAAGAAAAAACAAACCTCAGTAGCAATGCTTACTCCTGTGGGAAAGCTCTGCCTCCATTCAGAGCATTGGAAACCTCCTAATATGATTTATTATCAAAACAAAACCACCAAACATCTAACAAACAACAGCTCAATTCAGCCAGTTGACTGCATCAATACTACCCATGGCTCCCTCCTCACTGGGAAACCCGGCACAAAAGAAAGTTTTAATCTCTCTCCTGAGATTTAGCTTTATTAACTTCAGTGAAGCTACACTGATTTACACCAACTGAGGATCTGGGCCAAAGTAGTTACCCAACAGATTGCATGATTTGTGACTTATTTAATGTAGTTGTTCTCAACCAGGGGTACGCGTACCCCTGAGGGTATGCAGAGGTCTTCCAGCGGGTACGTCAGCTCATCTAGATATTTGCCTAGTTTTACAACAGGCTACACAAAAAGCACTAGCAAAGTCAGTACAAACTAAAATTTCATACAGACAGTGACTTGTTTATACAGCTCTATATACTATACACTGAAATGTAGGTACAATATTTATATTCTAATTGATTTATTTCAAAATTATATGGTAAAAATGAGAAAGTAAGCAATTTTTCAGTAATAGTGTCCTGTGACACTTTTGTATTTTTATGTCTGATTTTGTAAGCAAGTAGTTTTAAAGTGAGGTGAAATTTGGGGGTACCCAAGACAAATCAGACTCCCGAAAGGGATACAGTAATCTGGAAAGGTTTAGAGCCACTGATTTAATGCATCTTATTTCCTGTTTTATGGGGCATCTGATTCTAAGTGAGTTTCTTACAGTTTACTCGTTTTTTAATCTCTACTGACTGAGGCACAAGGGAATGAAAGTAGTTGCCAGGGTTTCAGTCCATTGCTCCAACTTGCTAGACAACACAGCCTCATTTATATTTGCCATACATCTTATTACAGAATCACCAGTGAGATTTATTAACTTCTGTTACTGTTTGCAAAACAATTATAGCTGACAAATAGGCTTGGATCCATTTATGAACCTCTCAGTGCTAAGAAGTAAAAGACAGATTGAGAAATCTTACAAATGTAAACAGAGTCAGCTGGCAGCTTTGCTATGTTACTGATAGAAATCCACAGAGGAGATCTGACTTGTTCTTCCATTAATTAGATAAGTAAGTATTTCAGTGGCTTTGTTTTAACATTCCCCCGAAAGCACCAATATGCAGGGCTTGATTAGAGTCAGGACTTCACTTCAAGTGTCTGATGATGCACTTCCTAGCAGGAAGCAAAGCACTGACTTCCCCAACACTAAGACAGATGTCAGGAGTGGAGGCAGAGTAGTGATAATTAATATTGTACTCTTCATTTGCCAATATGGAAGAATTGTGAGAGATCCTTGGTCACATCTGTGGCATAGAATCATAGAAGATTAGGGTTGGAAGAGACCTCAGGAGGTCATCTAGTCCAACCAACCCCAACTAAATCATCCCAGCCAGGGCTTTGTCAAGCCGGGCCTTAAAAACCTCTAAGGATGGAGATTCCACCACCTCCCTAGGTAACCCATTCCAGTGCTTCACCACCCTCCTAGTGAAATAGTTTTTCCTAATATCCAACCTAGACCTCCCCGCTAGGCATCCCTGCATGTCTCATCTTCCTTCTCAATTGTGTACATAAATCCATCGCTAAGATTATCATCATCTGCTGCTCCAACCACCTCATCAGCTTGTTAAGGTATTTATAGAGTGTCAGTCACCACTAGGGTGACCAGATCAGCAGCATAAAATATCAGGACGGGGAGGGGGGAAGCACAAAAAAGGGGGGGGGGGGGGGGGGAAAAAAAAAAAAAAGGGGGAGTTTAAAAGGGGCCGGGAGCATTAGCAGGCCGCGCGCGCTGCCCTCCCCACGGAGCCTCCCGCCCCCCGGCCCGCCACAGGCATATGCGGCGCGCGGTGGGTCCGGGGAGGGGCAGCGCGGAGTGGGCAGGGGCCGGGTGGGCGGCGCGGGCTGAATCCCTGCGCCTCTCCCTCCTGCTCAAGGCTGCGGCTCCTTCCCGGCGGGACGCACCTCCCGCCGCCCCGGCCACATGTGGTGCGCGTCCCCCGCGCCTAGTCTCCCTCCCACCGGGAAGGAGCCACTGGACGCACGCCACATGTGCCCGGGGCGGGCCGGGGGGTGCGTCCCGCCGGGAAGGAGCCGCAGCCGCGAGCGGGAGGGAGAGGCGCAGGGCTCCCCGGCAGCAGCAGGGATTCGGCCCACGCCCCCGCGCCGCACACCTGGCCCCTGCCTGCTCCACGCTGCCCCTGCCTGGATCCACCGCGCTGCCCTGCGGGCTGCAGCAGCCTCCAGGCTGCACTCCCGGCCCCGGCCCCCATGTGCAGCGGCCCGGGGGCCGGGCAGGAGCCCTCTGGCATGGCGGGGGGCTCAGAGCTGAGCCTCCCCGTCTCCCTCCCTTGCCAGCCCCCCTTTGCCCGCCCGCCCGGTGCCCGGGTGCCAGAGCTGACTCACCAGCTCCAGGATCCAGGCACCGCCGCCACCCCCTCCCTCCAGGCTTGCGCCGTCATGCTGCAAGCCTGGGAGGGAGGAGGAATGCTGCGTGGTTGGGGAAGAGGCGGGGCCAGGGTGGGGATTTGGGGAGGGAGCCAATGGGGGAAGGAGGGGGTGGAGCCGGGGCGAGAGCCCCTCCAGGAGGGCAAAATTTCTTTTTTGTCCAGTGTCCCAACCAAACATTTGTCGGGACATGGGACAAAGAAGCAAATATCGGGACAGTCCCGATGAAATCAGAACGTCTGGTCACCCTAGTCACCACAGTATCTAGGCATGAAGCCTAGTAGGAGTGTATAAGACAAACAAAAGTGGGCTCTTCTCTCGCCTTTGTGGGGTTCAGATGTCTGTATCTTATTTTAAAAATCTAATCGTCATGATTTCTCTAGAGCAGGAGTCTTGTTATTCACACAGAGATGCACTGATAGCTGTGTAGACCTGATCAAAGTCCCCTGACTTCAGCTGAAGTCAGTGGACTTTCTGGATTAAGCCCTATCTGAAGAAGATTGCATAGCAGCAGCCCACATTTTGCCTAACTTTAGCAAGAGATGCACGAGAGCAATAAATTTTCATTTTAGGAGGTCACCAAAGCAAAAGCAGGAAAAAGTGAAAAATAAACTAAATACAATTTAAAAAAAGTTATTCATATTATAAACTTCCTCCATATAGACTGATAAGTACAGTACAGTAATGTCCAAATCTCCAGCCAGTATAGAAACATAGTTCTGTAAGCCTATATGTGTCTTATTCTGGGATAATTAATAGGCTAGGAAATTACTGTTGAAGAAAGCAGAAGAATTTAATACTTAATTAGTTGCCTATAATCAAAAGTATTCCATTTCTAATTTCAATGCAGTGAGGATTTAGACGTGAGGCTATGCTGTTCTGACTTACCCCCATGATCTTGGTGTGGCATCTGGCACAGGTTGGTGCAAAGAACTGTTCATAACAGCGCTCACAGTACACACTGTTCTGCTCCTCCACAAAGCACACATCTGCTAAAGATGTCTTGCAGTAAGCACAGTTGAACTCCTCTGGGTGCCAGGAACGACCCATGGCTACCAGGAAAGGACCCCTGTGAAACATCATTATTATATTTATATTGCAGAAGCATCTAATGGCACTGATGGACAATACTAATGAGGATGTATTTTAAAATAAGACACTATAACCTGCTGACAAGAGGTCTCTTTTCAAGATATTTTAAAGGAAAATTTCAGGAATTAGTTAATATATTAACCTATAAAATGATTATAACTGAATTTTCAAAACATCTGTTGGAAATACTGCCATGGTTTCCAAATCTCAATAACTGTAAAAGTGTTTGTGAGAACTCCCATGTTGCTGATACTTCCCATCAGCAACCGTAAATTGCTTGTGTAGAGTAGGGCACTGAAAATGCTTTCTTTAAAAAATGAACAAAAAACCCACAAAAACAACAAGGAGTCTGGTGGCACCTTAAAGACTAACAGATTTATTTGGGCATAAGCTTTCGTGGGTAAAAAGCTCACTTCTTCGGATCACCAAAAGTACTTAAGTGTTAAATATAAAACAAGGGGTTGAGGAATCAAATGGGAAGTTTCCTCATTCTAATGAGTATGACACAGAGTAGACAATTACCATTTGAAAACATAAAAAAGCAGGAGACTTTCCAGAGTTGGTGAAAGGTGTAATACACATATACCTTACAATAGCTTTGAAAGTATCATGTTTTCATGTGCATTTGAATGAAAGTTGCATTCACTATGTTACATCAGATTGTCAAAATGGCAACTTGCTGTTTGATTATCCTTTAGTTATACTACAGCCACATTAAAACATGTTGGTGATTTACTGTTAATTGTACTTAGATGTAGTGATTAGGCTATTGTTTGTATTACTGTTGTATTCCTATATGGGAAGATAGGAGAATGATAATCAGTAGCCCCATAAAACTAAACCAGTTCCTTTTTAGTGGATGACACTGTCATTAAAAGTGCACGGATTACTTGAAATCAGGCAGCAATCAACAGGGTAACAATGGGCACCAGTCCAGCAGAGTGAACTGAGGGAGGAGAAAAGAGAAGCATGCGGTGAATCACTGGTAATAGAGTGTATGCATTATCTTTCTCCAGACACAAAAGCAGCAATTACATTTGTCTCCAAACTGATATCTCACTCCCTTGACCCAATATAGTTTTACATAGTGTCCTTCCAGTTTTATTTCTGGAGATACCTTGGGGACCAGAAATTTGTAAGAAAAAGGCAGTGCTTGTGGTAGGAAAGGTGCCCAAAACAATGACCTTGTATAACTTTGCAGTGATAAAAAGTGAACCACACGATGGCAAAGATGAGCTCTGGAAATGTTAAATGAATCAAGCAAACAACAGACATCCCCTCTGGATTATTTAACTGTGTCTCATGCTCTGAGATTGTATAATAAAATGCAATAATCAGTTGCTCTGTGATACTTTCTCTCCTGTCCCCATCCCTCTCCTAAGAGTCTCATGACCTTACCGAATGATGCTGTTACAGTGTCCGCAGAGAGGAGTTCGGTTGCTGGCTGGGAAACGCTCAGCCCTTTGAATTGTTCCCCGGGCTACAGCAGGAGTCTGGGAAGAGGCTGGTATTGAAGGAGACGAGTAGGCTGAAATTGAGGCAGGAGATGGTGCTGGAGCACCCCGTGGCAGGGTATGTTTGGTAACAGAGGTGGTGGTTTTTCCAGGTGCAAATTTCTGGGAAAAGGAGTCATCTGTTACCCAAGGAGGGCGGCATGAAGGATCAGCCTTGCCTGGTGTATAAGAATGCACTGGTGCTCGTGTCAGTGCTGGCGCTGTTATAAACATCCAAAAGAAAATCAAAGAATGCTTTAAGATCTTTTCTTTTTAGATTGCAAACAACAACATTTAGCAAAATGCACTGCATACATAAACGGAACACTTAGATGACTCTAATTGTAGTTTGTCCCATTAGCACAGATCAGAGCTGAAGTGAGTTCCAGGATATCACCACAATCCTTGATTTATATCCAAATACATCACAGAAACCATTATCTACTGGTTTTCACTGAATTTATTAAGATCACTTACAAGGACATTGCAGTGTTAGTTTTTATTTAGTGGGAGTGCATGTATATGGTTGTAATCACTGTCTTCTGACCTGTAGTAACCTAGGTTCAGAAATACAGTGGCAAGCTAGATTCAAATGGCCAGATCAAGCAAGCCATCCGCTTTTAGGCAGAACTCACCATGATTTTAATAGTTTATGCTTAAGTATTGGTGTCATGAGATTGCCGAAGATGTGGATTTTTCCACAGATTCTCACTCTTATTTGTAATTTGTAGAAGTTTTATACCTGGGTTAGTGATAGCCTCACTTACGGAACACAGAGGCTGAAAGAGAACAATAAAAACAATGCTGGGGAAACAAATACAGATTGTTTAATTTACAAAGAGTGAAACTGAATGCAGGTTAAATTGAACAAGTGGAACTTTATTAAACCTTGTGCACTGCTCTGTCCATGTGGCTGAGTTGCTTCCAGCCTATCTCCAACTGTTCCCTGTTCACCTAGGGTCAACCTCAATAAAAGCCCCTCCAGGGAACACAGGCACTCTGACTCCACTTCCATTTATCACGATACTCAGATCACACGGCCAGCAAGGCAAAATCAACAGCAACAAGAGGAAGAATGTCCCTATGATTAAGGTACTGGACCAGGACTCAGGATCTCAATTCAGTTCCTGACTCTGTCATGGATTTCCTGTGTGACCATGCGTAAATCATAATCTGTGTCTCAGGTCTGGTCTGTAAAATGGGGAAAATGATACTTCCTTTCTCCTATCCTTTGTTTTGTCTATTTAGATTGTAAATTCTTCAAGGTATGGACTGACTGTTATATCTGTTTGTATAGTGCCTAGCACAATGGGGCACTAATCTTGGGTGGGGCCTTAATACAAATAATCATCAGAATCTAGAGTCTGTACTCACTGGAAAGCCCTCCCATTATCTTGTTCTCTTTTTAAAACTATAGACCTAAGGCTCAGAAATCTAGGTACAACTGAAGATTTCACCGGAGAAACTGCCACATCTCCCAATCACAGTGTAGAAAGGTCAAATATATTCTTTACTTTGGAAAGGAAAAAAGGAAGCAAAAAAAATCTATTGATGTATTCTGAAACAACCTGAAGGAAAATAAAACAAGAGAGTAGGAAAACAAGGAAAGCCAGCAATCAAGAACAAGAATACAGTGCAGACCTCCAGAGCTTTGATAAAAAATACCCTCTTTTCAAGCCTTTTTAAAATAATATTTATTTTAAGTGGATTAAATTAGTAACATTTTAATTTATTGTTATCACTGAAGAAATTACAGACTGCACTATGGCTACTTTGAGATGTTTACATAGATGCTTATTTGTGTTGATACTTGTGGAACTACATGTACAGAATTGTGTAAAGGATGTTTTGAATGAGCTGTAGAAGGTAATTATTAATTATCTTATGGCTTGAGGCTAACTAATGAGGGAAAATTATTAACTGTGAGTAAAATGATCCATGTTAGCACCCTGATAACATATCCTGATAACTTTTTCCAAATAGTCCTATTTTGGACTGAACATTCTTATGCTTGATGTCCCCAAAGGCGAATTTTTCTTTTGGGTTGATGTGAGCAAAATTCCTCATCTGTTTGAGATCAGCAACTGTGAAACAGATCACTTCCTGTTTTGTAAGGATTTCAGACATATTATTTGGCTGCTGCAGAAAAAATGGATGAAGTTTGAAACACAGCATAGGATCCTCTTTGAGGAACAGTGCCTTTGCTTGCTTTTATTTTTTTAAAAGGTGTTGCTTTACCATAGTTTTAACTGTATGAGCATGTTCATATAAAAAAAAAAGTCTACAGGTGCACGCAGAGGGTCCAGTCCTTCCTCCCAATAAAGTAAGTAAAAAAGTTCATGATGGCTTTAATAGGACGAGGATTTAATAGGACCAGGATAGGCCCTGAAAGGGAGACATAGTATGCATCTGTGAATTAGTTAGGTACACTGTGACGAGGTGTACCAATCCTGCACTGGGCCAACAAGGACGGACCAATCACTGTGGGCCCAGGAAGCAACACCCCCTTTTCCCTGCTGCGCATGCTCCAGGTGGAAGAGCCAGATAAAAGGAGGCAGCTCAGCTCAGTAGGGGCTGGCTGTGGAGAAGGAAGGATGTGTACTGCAGAGGTTCCTGTGATGCTCCAGGTAGTAGAGCCCAAGGACATGGACTACGCTGCAGGTGACTCATGGACTGCAGAGACAAGCCACCACCAGATGAGGAAGTGCCCAGGATGCAACTTGTGGTAGGAAGTCACCCAGGGGATGTAGTAGAAGCTGATGCCTAAACCCTTAGTATGGAAGTCCCCAGCTTCATAGGGCCTTGGGTTGGAATGTGGTGAAGCAGGAGGGGCTGGGTTCCCTTACCACACTAGGTGTGGCTGCTGTTTGCTGTCTGGCCAAGTCTGGGGGCTCAGGGACTATAGCCTGTTTGTTTGTTCTGCCCAGTCCAGGGGCTACAGACTGATTGCTGTTCTGCTTTGCCCAAGGGGCTGATTCTCCAAATGCTACTGTCTGCCCCAGCCAGGAGACTTAGGGGCTATAGACTGTTTGTTTGGTCTGCCCTGCCCACAGGGCCAGGGCTCCAATTGTAACTGCCTGCCCCAGGAGGCTCAGAGGCTATAGGCTAAGTGTTTGCCCTGCCCACCTAGGGGCTATAGACTAATTGCTGTTCTATCCCACACAGATGGCCAGAACTGCAATTGCTACTGCCTTCCCCCAACCAGGAGGCTTGTGGGCCATAAACTATTTCCACTGGTGAGCTGGAGCCGGTTCCCACCAGTTTGCGGGAACCAGTTGTTAAATTTAGAAGCCCTTTTAGAACCGGTTGTCCCGGTTCTAAAAGGGCTTTTAAATTTAACAAAAGTTCTAGCAGCTCCCTACCCTGCCCCCAACCCCAGCTCACCTGGCTCCGGCTCCGCCTCTGCCTCCTCCCCTGAAGGCTCCCCCTCCCGGCTGCCCACGAATCAGCTGTTAGCACGGGAAGCCTGGGAGGACTGAGAAGGAAGCAGCAGCTTCCTGCAGGTGAGCTGGGGTGGGGGGCGCAAGGAGGGCTCCAGGCTCAGCGCAGCTCCGGGTGGCCCTGACTCCGATTCCAGACGGCCGGGCGGCGCGGCTCCGGCCCGGCCAGCGGCTCCGGCCCGGCCAGCGGCTCCGGCCCGGCC